CCCTGAGAGCCAGGTCAAAGAAGGGGGGGCTGAATGCCTGAGCTGCCCGCAAGGCCCGGAAGCCCCTGGTGGAGAAGAAGCAGCGCGCGCGGATCAACGAGAGCCTACAGGAGCTGTGGCAGCTGCTGGCGGGCACCGAGGTGAGGCTGGCGGGCCGGTGCCCAGGGGATGCTGAGCGAGCGGATGGGGGTCAGGGCATTGCCTGGCCTCACCTCCCTCCCCCACCTGGCGCCCCCGTTGGCGCAGGTGCAGGCTAAGCTGGAGAACGCTGAGGTGCTGGAGCTGACGGTGCAGCGCGTGCTGCCGGAGTGCTGCGGAGCAGGGCTTGCGGGTGCGAGCAGCTGCAGGCAGAAGCCAGCAAGCGCTTCGCTGCCGGCTACATCCAGTGAACCCCCTACTTGAGTCCATACCACTGCAAAAGGGCAGCGGCTTCCGGGATTTGCTGGAGGACGCTCTGGCCGGGCCCCCGGGAGACCCTAGGCGGAGCAGCTGGCACACAGGAGGGGCTGATATCCCCTTCTAGTGCACTCCCTTGAAAGAGGCCTGGTTGCTGCTCTGCCACAAAGGGAACTGGTAGAAAGGCAAGAAAGCAGGGCCTTAAGGGTTAACAAAAGGGCACTCTCCCTGGACCTGGGAGCCATCAGGACTTTGAAATTCTCTAAGAGAGGAGGAGTCTGACTCAGAGACTGGCCGAAACCTTTGTTGGGTTAGAAGAACCGGAGGCTGCATATTGAACTTATAGACTGCAGTTTGCTGGGCAGAGGTCCAAGCCCAGTTATATAGGGGTTAAACTACCTGTGTACAGCAAAACAACTTTCTCCTGTGCCAGAATACATTTTAAGAAAATTGAATGCATAATAGACCAGTAAGCTGGGACAAGTAGAATAGGGAAACTGAGCAGAAATCCTATCTTCCCTAAACCAATGACACTTGGGAGTAAATGCTTTGCATTTGCCTCCCTAAACAAAGGTTAAATCGTTTATGTCAATCTGATTAGTGTCATTTGTTGTCACTGGGTGTGGGACAAATGAAGTTAGAAAATAAGCCTTATTTTGATTAGTTCTTTTATTCAGGAGGAGCCAACCCGGTCCCTCCCTGCAACATGAATGATAAAATGTATGTTAAGGAATTTAAAAATTGCTCAAACCTCGCTGCCTTGGGTCCAGTTATGCATGTGTAAGAAGGCAGACCTCCTCGGACTGGCAACAGCTGACTCTGACTAGGACAGACTGGGCTTTTTCCAACTGGGCCAGACTGTGAACTTTATGATTGATACAGCGGCAGAACACTCGGTAGTTACTCAGAAGGTAGCTCCCCTCTCAGGACAGGAAGTCACCACTATTGGAGCTACCGGTACCACAGCTGCAGACTGTTCTGCCGCCCCCGCCGATGTCAGTTAGGCGGCCATCAGGTGGTTCATGAATTCCTATATTTACCAGTTGACCTGGTCCCTCTAATGGAAGCAGAAACCACTTTTGCCCCAGATGGCTCAGCACAGCCTTGCCTAGGTGAAGAGACCTCTCCAATGATCCTGTCCTTAGCAGTGCCGAGAGAGGAAGAATGGAGACTTTATACCCCTCAGCCAAAGGCCCTCACATCTGTTCTTGTCAGGCCCCCATTAGGGGACTTGGGCAGTGTTCCTGTTATCTGCCCAAATTCCCAAGACTGTAAAAGTACTTGTTCACTGAAAAGGTGTAAATATGGAAGTCTACAAGAAAAAAAAATATTTAATTTAAAGCTAAATGCTCTGGCCGATAGTAAAACGCCCCAAGTGGCCACTGGGTTATTTTCCCAAAGGGTGTTTGCTCCCTGTCAGAGGTGGAATCAGCCCACCCAACAAAATTTCTGTCTGTTTGTTTACTAGAGACTTTGATTTGCTCTGATATTTCTGTGTTGGGTTAAAATTTTGGAATTCTGGGGTAGATTTAAAAATATTTATAGATAAATAGAACCCCCGGTTAGTTTCCTGGTGTATTCTGGAGCAGCCTATT